GGACATTTACTGATGAAGCAGATGAATCCCACATGAAGCAGAAACCAACGAGACGGAGACCAGTACGGAAGAAGATACGTCCCGTAAAATTAAGAGACTTTATTGAATTGTAATTTTGTGTTTGTAATTCTGTACATTTAATTAACAATTAATTAAGTTAATTAACAAACGGAGACGTAACAATATTTACAAATGTTTGCTACACTGTTGGTTATCCAGAGTTTTAAGTAATTATCTACATTTCTTCCACACAGGCTAGTTCAGTTACTTTAGACCCCAACTGACAAGAAAAATTATTCTTCTCTACTCTATTATTACAATATAATCAGCAAATATTACACTTTAAAAGTTGCCACTGTACACTCTTTGTGTATGAACTTATAAACATATTCTAGATCTATTTGACTATATCTCTCACTAACTTTGTCTCACTTTCACATTTCACTAAATTACTTACTTGCACTAACTTTGTCACTTATTGAGTCCTAGAACTTTCTACAAACTATGACACATTATTATGCAACAATCTTATATACATATATATATATATATGTTGGAAACTGTGATGTCTGTTGCAAGTTCCTCTGTCTCCCGTTTATGGCAGCAGCTTCCTGCACTGCATTTTAAAACTTTCGCACACAGGCAAAGCTCAACATTCACTTTTGAAATGAAGGGAGAACAGGCATGAATAATGTTGATACAAATTTCATTTTGCAAGCAGGATATTCTACACTAAATTGTTAGGAATTAATCACACTATCATTCACATTTCAAAATATGACAAAGAATAAAATGTAGATTTACTATATGTTACTTAGCATAACTGAAATTCTCAACATTTATTTTTCGCTGCAGGCAGCTCAGAGCTTTGGCTGAGTGAAACCAAAAGTTCAACAGTTAACCTTTTTGAAGTCCATATAATAATTTAAATTGATAGATTAACTTAAAGGTTTTCTTGTCACTGGAAACAGGTAATTTTACTTGTACTCAATGGAACAATGTGAAAAACTTAGAAGGTTTGAGTAAATGATGTCAATTCACAACAATTCAACTAAGCAACAACTAATTTGTAAATAGTTGTGTAAGCAAACTTGCCATAACTATTGCTTCTAAAATAACTTACTTTAATGCTCACACAATATATACTAAATAATACTTTCGTATTAAACTTAAAATGAACAGTTGTGTATATCTACTGTCCGGCTTTGGAAATGGCAACATTATGACAGAGCCTTTGCAATCAAAACTACATTATAAGTCTATTGTAAAGATGCATAGTAGTCAGAGCATGAAAAGATGTCGTAGCATGAAGTAAAACAATGTGGTGAGGTTCCAAAACCATTTTAATACAAGGTATTCAATCTCTATATATTACAAATAACAAAGTAATAACATAACAAAACACCAAGGAGAAAAAGTAAAGCATCAGTTACAAACATACCCCTCAGAAAATCATAGGGTGACATAATATTACAAAGACAAAATAATAAGGTAACAACATATTACACATTCAACTGAACTAAACCCAGAAAAGTAATAAGTTATAAAAACATATTACAAATCTAGGTAATGGGTTCAAAATCACTCATAGAAAAGATACAGGGGTGGAGATCAATTTTCAATGATGTTTTGCAAGTTAAAATGAAAGAGGTGCACAGAAATAAGATACCAGTATTCAAAATGTCTATATTTGAAAGTGATATTATTAACACAGTGCATAACTGGTCTTACCTCGTATCTGGCATGATTCTCCAATCCACCCATGGCTACAACCACCATTACACTGCCCTGTTATCCTATTACAAGCCTTTGAGCCATTAGCACAGTGACACGGTTGTTTACAGTCTGCTCCATACCAACCAGGTTTACATTCTGTCATAAGAAAGAGCATCAGAATTTCATCTATTTATACTTTTAAAAATAATTTTATTACTTTGCCTAAATGGCCAAATTTATTCTATCATAAACAAGGAAAAAGGAATATGTTACTACTATCATATATATATATATATTGCAATTTTATTTCTTTTTCACCAAAGATAAAATTGAAAACATCATCTGTAAAGTAGAGGCTTAATACATTCCTTTGTTGACACCAACCACTATTGTGGCCTGCAGTTTTGCCTATTCTAGGCTTATCAACACAGCTTAGGCCAACAAAATACAAAAATACAGTTAGACATTTTATAATTATAATGTATATATAAGAATTATAGGGTTTTTTGGTGTGTGAATAATATTATAGCAATGCATTAAATTTATTATTCTATATTATACAGCATATCAACTGTATAATGTTTATATATATATAACCTATATAAAAGCCAGTGTGTTCCACATTACACTTCTTTTCTCGAAATAGAAGGAGTCATAAAAGCCAAAATGCATTGATCCAGATAGAATAGTTCGATTACTGTCTGCCAATTATGATTTTAGTGACGGGGTGCAAGGGGGACATGATGAGGATGCTGTGAAACCTTATAAGTGTAGTGAGTGTTGGTAGAATAAGCCTAAAGTAAAGACATAGTATGGGATCACCTGGTGTAGAGCCAAGTGCATAAAATTTTCCATAAAGTAAAAATATAGATTCAATTTTAAATTTAAATCCTTTCTGAATCAAGCTATTTTCTATATATTAGAAGTTGTTAATTTGATTTTTACCATTAATTATTCTTGAATATGCCTTATTCCCTTTGTCGCTCTGTCAAGAATACTTTCCCACTCCTTTTTTGGTAATGCTCAACAATATACATTGTCACTTAGCAACAAACTATTATGGGATGTTATACAGTAGTTTTTAAGTATTATGGGATGTTATAAAGTAGTTTTAAGTATTATGGTGTGTAATAGAGTGTTTTTAACTATTATGGTGTGTAATAGAGTGTTTTTTAACTATTATGGAGTGTTATAGTTTTTTAACTATTGTGGAGTGCTATAGTGTTTTTAAACTATTGTGGAGTGTTATAGTGTTTTTAACTATTGTGGAGTGTTATAGTGTTTTTTAACTATTATGGAGTGTTATAGTGTTTTTTAACTATTATGGTGTGTAATAGAGTGTTTTTTAACTATTATGGAGTGTTATAGTGTTTTTAACTATTGTGGAGTGCTATAGAG